GAAAGTAGTAAGTAAGTAAGATTTCTTCATAAAATGTTTATTTCTTACAGTTCACAATAGCATTACAAAGTTATAATGTTGTTTTATGTCATTTTCTATGGAGTTGTAACAAAATTTTTACTAATCCAACTTGTTAATTCTAATTTGCTGCGATAGTTTTCCTTTTAATTACGTTATATATGCTACCATTGAGTATACTTTCCACATTTCCAAAAAAGAGTTGGTAGAGGGGACACATGACATGACTCTAATGAAAAATACGACTAAAGCTTAATATTTAACAAAGAAACCGATAAAAGTGAATAAGCTTTTATTGCTAAGCCAGTGTGTGAATTGTAAACCTTACCCTGCGTTATAATCTAGGGCTTACTGCTAAAAGAATTGCTATTAAACATGACAGTGAGAAAGCTTTTAATAGACTTACCAAGGTTCAAGACTGGGGTCTGGGAAGTCTTGGTTCGAGGATATAAAAAACGATCCTCAAAGATCCGATCACAAATGCGGTAGTTATTGTAAATTTCACAATCGGTTTTATCCTTTCTAAATACACACACAGCACAGTATATAAATGCACTAGAAATCGGAATAATATTAAATTGATTTCTATTTAAGCTTTACTATTAGTGAATAGCGACCGCCATTATTGTTTATTGCGTATGTACGTAGCACATGGATTGTTTCCTTTGCATAGACTTAATACATAAGTGTGCCCTCTAGTTCGATAAAAGTAAGTCTTAGTTTACATGCCCCACACGAAAGGTGGCAGCACAAAAAGATATCAATTTGTTCTCAAAATAATGTTCTAAGTTGCATGCCCATGCAACGGAGCGACTGTGCATACGCAGCGGAACCACGGACGGGACGTGGCACGCGCCGGACGGGACGGGGTAAACATCGTCACCGACGATGTTTACCCCGTCCCGTTCGTGCCACGTCCCCGTCCCGTCCGTGCATCCGTAACGTATGCATTATCACATACATTTTCTATGAAACGATATTTCCAAAATTTCACGTCCCGCTCCGTCCGGAATAAAACACGTTACGTATGCAGCGACCTTAACTCACCCATTCTTAACCCGCATTCTTCAACTTTGAAATTTTCCAAACAACTGTCCATAAATAGGTTGAACAGCCACGGGGAAGCTACACAGCCCTGTCTGACACCTTTATGGATGCCAAACCAGTCCGAGTAGGCCCCGTTGATCCTAACACAAGCACTCGAGTCCCTATACAGAGACTTTAATGCCTGTATTAAACCCGTTAAATGAGTTCAGCGTTTACCATAACACATCCCTGTCCACTCTGTCATAAGCCTTTTCCAAGTCCATGAACGCACAAAAAACGTTTTAGTTTTTCGCCAAAAATTTCTCCGCGATCATGCGCATGGAAAAGACTTGATCTGTAGCCCCATTCCTTTTCTAAATCCCGCTTGTACATTCCAAATTTTTTCATCAGTTTCTTCCATAACTCTTTCAATTAGTACCTAAGACCAGGCAGTGGTCCGTCCCTAGGTTGGACCCCCGGTAAACCCTTGTATCCACCACTGCGCTCCTCATTCTTTCATCCACAGTTATGAAATGTATCATGCTTCTATCATCACCTCTTTCCCAAGTATACATATGACGATCTTTTTATGACGAAAGAAAGTGTTCGTCACAAAAAGATTCCTTTCCACACATACGGTGAGGAGGCTTTCACCATTCTCATTAATACTTTCATCACCAAACGTTCCCAATATCCTTTCATAGCCGTCCTCACCTCAACCCTTCCATTAAAATCTCCTAACATAACAATATTTTCATTTTCCTTACATTTCATTAACACCATCCTTACCATCTCCCAAAACTGCTCTCGGATATAAGTGGGCTTAGACATGTCTAGGGCATAGACTCCTAGAACAAACAACTTCTTTAAGCCCTCTTTTATTCGTATCCATAGCAGTCTCGGGCTTACAAATTCATACTCTTTCACACATTGACCCATTCTTTCTGAAAGGGTGATACCGACTCCCTGGCATGCCCGCTCGGTCTCGTCTACATCGAACCAGTACGCGGTATATATGCCATGTGTAGTGACATCCTTTCCCTTCCGCTTCGTCTCATTTACACATAACACATCTATTCCTCTATTATACATCATATCGCATACTTCATCCATCTTATCATTCATTGCTCCACATACATTCAGCGTAGCTAGACGGACCTCCGCAATCCTCTTTTCGCCCCTCCGGGAAACAGAACGTGACAGGTGGCGAACCTCGTCGCCGGTTTTCCTCCCGGAGATTCTTCGCACCCCTGCCCCATTAAAGGGGCGCCGGGAACTCGGGGCCATTTCTTTTATTTTCTGAGTCATGGTGCGAACAAGGGGTGGTGGTAGATTTTACGCCGCTACATTTTACTCGCCACACGGCGAGTAGCCGAGTCTGTTCTTTTGGCTTTGTCGCTCTTTTAGCACCACCCGGGGGAAACGTGTAGGGTGGGCCTAGGATTAGGTGGTCGAAGCCTACGGACGCGAGCGACTTATCCCCATGGACACAAAATTTTATGAAAATCGTTTGAGCCGTTTCCGAGATTCCGATGATATATACATATATACAAGAATTGTTCGTTTAAAGGTATAGGATTCTGGCGATTTTTAACACGATAAAGTTCTCATAACTATTGATACTTAGTTTTAGTTTAAAATGTTATTTATAAGTACACAAAAGAGAGAGAGAGATCTTTAAACACTGAACCAGGTATCTTTATTGACACAGTGATAGCGATAAACGATAGCAGTACTGAATCTTTACCTTAGTCGTATTCACAAGAACCTGCGAACAAATCACTTTCATTTATATTTTCATGGATAAAATTACTACTGAAAAATATATAATATATAATTTTATAATTTGTGATATAGTGACTGTGATATTGAAAGACCTGACGTTTTTTAGATACGCGTAGGTATGAGCATAATTAATGGATTTTTGCTGCATTTGTTTTTATTTGTGTAGGTAATATTATAAACGACTTTAATCATATTTCTTATTGTAATGGTGATTGAGATTAATACTCACTCACTAATCAATAATGCATGTCAGAAATAGTTTCACGCCATGTTTGTTTGTCTGTGCACTATGTTTTCCCTATTACTAGGACTATTTAAAGGATTTTCCATCAATCTTAAAGTATCTATGAATGGCGAATGTACAACTTTGTTTTATACTATTAATTTTATCTAACAGTGTACTATTTTAACTTATAATACCGGTGAAAACTATTAAACAATCGCGTTCAGTTTGTTTTTAGGTTATTGTTATAAAGGTATTTATTTCTCCATTCTATAATTTTACAAAGGAATATCATAACTATAATTATAACGATTAAAATATTTAGAATTATTGATATTTTTAATTTTAAAGTTTTCCTCTTTGATTACTTATGGACTCGTACGATTTGCCAGGGTACATAAATTAATAAAAATTCTTTATAATAATTTGTTTAGAAAATTCTTTGCAATATGTTGATGCATAACATTGCTAAGTTTTTAGCGAGGCGATAGTTGATGATAAGACTAGTTTTAATTGAGTATTTTATATTTTAGCCATCTATCCGAACATGATTGTAGTGCTCATGTGTGCGCATGCCGCGCAAGCAGCACTATTTATTTCCTCACTGGAACGGCAATCTGACACGACGGAAAAGAAATCACGCGCAGGGCCAAAGATTTTGATTTTATTGGTGGTCTCCGAGGCACGGACACGAAACACCATTAATTTTACCGACTCCGGACTGCTACCGAATATTTCTGGACAGAAAAACACTATGTCTTAATTACGGTCCGACTAGGGATTAGAACCCAATCACACTATTAGCTGTTGCGCCTACTACAAGTAACACTAGACCAACGCATTAGTTCACATTAGTTGATGGCGGTCCATAACAACTTTGTAATTTCTCAGCTCGCTTACTTAGTTTTTATTCGATACTTTTGTTCATGTGATAGAAAAATACTAAACTAAACAGTATTTTTCTATCACATGAACAAAAGTATTATTAATCGAATAAAAACTAAGTAAGCGAGCTGAGAAATTACAAAGTTGTTATGGACCGCCATCAACTAATGTGAATCAACACGTGCAATTACGAGCTTCAGTTGTTATGACAATATTACTAATAATGTTTACTGCCTCGTTTGTCTAGTGATTGTAGTAGTGCGACTGCAGATCATGAGGTCCTGGGTTCGAATCCCGTGTCGGGCCAAAAAACAACTATTGAGTTTTTCCGTTAAGAAATACTTAGTAGCTGCCCGGAGTCAGGAAGTTGGCGGTGTCTCACCCCCGTGCCTCGGAAAGCACGTGAAGCCGTTGGTCCTGCGCCTGATCTCTCTCCGGTCATGTCGGATCGGATTACCGTCCCGCCGGATTATGAGAGATGAGAGAGAGAGAGAGAGAGAGTGAGAGAGAGAGAGAGAGAGAGAGAGAGAGAGAGAGAGAGAGAGAGAGAGAACACAGAGTGCACACACATGGGCGCTATAATCCTGTCCTGCTACAATGGAGACTGGCCGCCGTGACCGAAATTCGGTCTGGGGGTGGATTATTATTAATCTAAACATTACTACTTTACTTTAAAAAAATAGCAGAATAAAAATATCATAGCATATGCATTTAAAATAGAAATTTTCTATTATCAATATTTTTTTAAAATTTGAAATAAAGGTTTTAATTTTATTTATATTTGTTTTAGGGTTACAAGAGAGGATATAACTTCAATCGGGTGTGACAACCCTGCTATAGTTACGAAGAATCCAATGCGGTCTCCGAGACAAGTTGCCGGAGCACCGTCAGCAGAACCGTGAACACTGGCGAACCACTCACCAGTTTGATGGTTGCTCTCCCACTGGAGAAAATAGTTTACACGCACTGTCACTTCATTGTTATTAAATTCCTTAATATCTTCTTCATCTTATAAATCTGTAATATATATTTATTTTATCATAAATTAAACGATATGAGCAAAATGTTGAAAGTAGTCGGCGCCTCCTGGCTCCAGACGAAAATAAGTTCGTACATACTGGGATTTCTTGGCGTCTTGGCCATCTTAGCGCTATTTGCCGGACAGATGGAGAGGTGAGTGTTATAGCTTTTGAAATTATTTTTATGTTATTTTCTTAGCATACTTGAATATCTTTGGTCATTAGTAAGATGAATTCTATGTGAATATTTTTCACAATTGTGAATTATAATGTTCTTTTTCCGATTCCAACGGCAGGATCACCCACTGAATATTTAAAACGGTCAAGTGTGTGTGATTGGGGCCTAATTATACAGAGTTATTTTGCATCCGGCCAAATTTGCAGAGAAGGTTCAGAATAAGTACTATATAGGCAAGTGGTGAAGAAAAATTAATTCAAAATAATCTCAAACATTATGATTTATGACCTTTACAAAATGCGTGGTAAAGCATTGCTTTATCTGATTTTACTGCGCGCGTACACTTTCGTAGGGGTCGATCGGTTGGCAAAAACGTTGTTGCCCATAAATCGCATTCAATTTGGGATAATTTCAAATTAAAGCAAAAGCCTTTTTTACTTGTATTTTCAAAAACTGTGATAACGGTATATCATTATGCATATATTTGAACTTAAGTTTAAAATTTGGCTACTCTGAAAAATAACCCTGTATTATAATTCTCTTAAGAGACTCAGCCTATCATTAATGCTCGCCTTTAGCTTCATGTCTTAACTTAGGTCCACATATATTTACTAGAGAATCATCTAGGAAAATTACGTATATTGAACTTTATTGCAATTATTACCAAAGAAAATATAGATGCAATTGATTTGATAATATGGAAGTGTGAAATGATAAAAATATTTGGCTGATAAATTTAATATTTACACAATGTATAGTTTCATGCAGAAAACAGGATAGAAAAAGAAAACGAGGAAAAAAAGCACGACATTTATAAAATTGATATTTTAATTTCATATTTGAAACATCTTATCGAAATATTAATTCTGTACATCCCAATCTAATTGCCGTTTTGATTTGTTTGTTTATTTTATAGACTTGCTCTTAAAACGTTTCGGAAGATTTATAACGTAAACTATAATATCGTACGTAAATGAAATAAAAATAGACTTAATGTGTTATCTAAATACGATTGTTTGTTGTTTTCATTCGACAGAATTCAAGAAGACGGAAACTATGCTGCGACCGTATTTTATTCAGAGAAAACCGGATATCGTATCGAGTACTGGGGACAAAGTAATGACTTGGCCGATTTACCCAGGGGAGTCGCGCGGGCATATTTTAGAATGGACATTGAAACTACAGGGTGAGCATACATATATTAATGTTTGTTTTAATTTAAAAATATGACCATGTTTTAAATAGCCATATTTTCATTAAATAATTGGTTAGTTTATTTATATTTTCTACATACTCCACTTTATATTATATTTTTAATTTTTATGAATATAATTGAATTCATTTTGCAGATGGTCTCTCCTGGAAGTAGAAACAGACGGTTCATACAGGGATGACATTCAAGCATACGCAGCGGGCATAGTTGAAGGGGCACTCACATCATACCTCATCCACACACACCTTGACAACACGATACGTGCGAAATGTGAACACCAGCCGGCAAAGAAACAGTGCAACAGGCTGCGAGACGAGTTGGACAAATCTGTAAATTTCTGGAAGAGTTATGCGGCTGAGCGAGGAGCTGATGACCCCTTCTGGCACCACGTAAGGAAACAATATAGAGTTTTCCTTATATATTCTTTTGCTACTCCCATATTAGCCTTTAATATCCACCATTTTGTTTATTATTATCAACTAGTTGTACGTTGTACCCGGCCGTGCGGTGCTGTGGCTCAAAAAAGTTTTTCAAAAAGACAAAACACGCGTGTATTCAAATGCAACGTTGCGTTGTGTCAAAATTTCAAGGCAATTGGTGAAGAACTGTTGGAGATGTAAGATTTCATTTTTATAGATAACAAATAAATATTTACATTTTTATTTAGGTAGTTGGCGAATTCCAGCCGGCCATTCTACTACATGATGTCTGTATCTTTAGAATATTTTGGAATACTATTTCTTTTATTAGTGATAAAAGACCAATGAATTGTAAACCTTAGTAATACTCTTTATCAAATATAAACATACATTAATGCTATGGTCATATTAAATAGAATATTAGTCCAGGAAACGACCACACTTGAAATACCAATTTATAATAGCAGCGTAATAGAGAACCTTTTAGCAGATAACGTGGCATTATTTCAAGTATTAAAAGGAGACATCAGCTTTTTGATATTTGATTGAACATATACGAATATTACGATATAGGTACATGTTGGTCACAGCATCCACTTATCATCAGATAGGCTTGTATATACTTACCAAAGGGTTTATTAGTCAACTCATACTCATCCTCAAGGGCAACTCTGGGACATAGCAGAAAGGTATCAATAACCTCCGATAGAAGGCTATATAACCATCTTAACTACATAATTTGTCAGAAGTAAAATACGAGGACCAGCTGTATTTTAGTTATATAAATAATGATATAACGTTATCAAAGTTTTTAAAAATACAAGTAAATAAGGCTTCTACTTTTATTTGAAATTATATAAATAAATATAAATAATGATATACACAGTCTGTTCAAAAAGTATCGCGAATTTTGTATTTTTTCAAAAAGTATTTATTCATGAGTATCTATTTTGTCTCCTTCAAAGTAAACCACCCCCCTCAGATATAATGCACTTGTGCCAACGTTTTTTCCAAACCTCGAAGCACTTAAAAAATATTTTTCGTGATCTTATTCAGCTCCTCCTTCGATGCCGTCTTTATCTCCTCAATCGTGGCGTAGCGTCGTCCTTTCACAGGCCTCTTCAGCTTTGGGAACAGGAAAAAGTCACAGGGGGCCAGGTCTGGGGAATACGATGGCTGTGGGACCATTACTGTGTTGTTTTTTGACAAATAGTCACACACAAGCAACGATGTGTGAGCAGGGGCGTTGTCACGGTGCAAAAGTCAGTTTTTGTTCTTCCAGAAATCTGGGCGTTTCTGGCGGATTGCTTGGCGCAAATTGCGCATAACTTGCAGGTAATATTCCTTACTGATCGTACTACCCTGTGGCAAGAACTCATGATGCACCACGCCCCTGCAATCGACGAAAATTGTGCGCAAAACCTTCACGTTCGACCGAACTTGGCGCGCTTTTTTCTGTCCTGGCTCATGCGGCAGTTTACATTGGGATGATTGAGCTTTGGTTTCCACGTCATAACCATAAACCCATGATTCGTCACCAGTTATGACCCTCTGGAGCACATTTGCGTCGTCACGGACAGTGTCCAACATCTTCTGAGCAATGTTAACGAGATGCTGTTTTTGGTCGAAATTGAGTAATTTTGGCACGAATTTCGCGAAGATCCGACTCATGCCCAAATCATTACTTAAAATCGAATGGCACGAGCCAATCGATATGTTTAGGTCTTCAACAACTTCTCTTACGGTGATTCCACGATTGACCAATAATATTTTCTTCACTTTTTCAATGTTATCCTCTGTTGTTGACATGCTCGGGCGTCCGGCACTCTGTTCGTCGTTCACATGTTCACGGCCCTCTGAGATTTTGTACCACCGATAAACGTTGCTTTGGTCCAAGATAACTTCACCATATGCCACAGTCAACATTCGGAATGCGTCCGTGCATTTTGTATTTCACACAAAATTTAATACAGATTCTTTGATCCATTTTTTGAAATAGGCAAAAATCGGAAGACGAGCCAAAACACATCCAAGCAAAGCAGCTGTCAAAAATTAACTAACATTCAAAATGGCCGACCTTATCAGCATAAGTAAGGGACATGATTACCAACATAAGGCTACAAAAAATCAAATATACGTAGCCCGCGGAAATTCAAAATTCGCGATACTTTTTGAACAGACCTCGTACAGTTATTGCAGTTTTTGAAAATACGAGTAAATAAGGCTTCCACTTTTATTTGAAATTATATAAATAAATATACATAATGATATACCGTTATTGCAGTTTTTGAAAATGCGAGTAAATAAGGCTTCCACTTTTATTTGAAATTATATAAATAAATATACATAATGATATACCGTTATTGCAGTTTTTGAAAATACGAGTAAATAAGGCTTCTATTTTTATTTGGAATTATCCCAAATTTAATGTGATTTTTGGGCAACAACATTTTTGCTTACCGAGCGACCCTTACGAATGTGTGCGTGCGCAGTAAAATCAGTTAGAATAGTGCATTACCACGAATTTTTAATTTAAAAGATAAAAAGGACAGAATATTTGAGATTTTTTAATTAATTTCTCTTCACGATTAGCCTATATTATTTATTCTAAATCTTCTCTTCAAACTTGGCCCGTTATTGCAAAATAACCCCTTTATATTATAGATACTGTATACTTTGCAGGTATCGCTATACTACACACAAATCGGCGGCATGTACACCGGCTGGAAATTTGGGACCGAACGTAGTAGTAACAGCAAATACGACACAGATATATCAGACTTGTACTGGCTAAACTCCGTTGCCGACGTCGTGGAGCTGCAACGCAAGCTGAACATCACTATAGACGACCCGGTCGTGAACCAGCTGCCTGGGTTGGACAGTGCCTTCTTGAGGATTGTAAATGAGACGCTGGATGATGGAACAGTCGCAAAAAAACTATTCATTGCTCATAATGTGGCTGGAAGGTAAATTTTATCTTTAAGCGCTTTATGATTACAAAATGACACACACAGGGAACTGAATAAAATTAAAGATTTTTCCCGTTAAATCACAAGCGTAAAGCGTATTTTATGAAACTTTTTTTTATTACTACCTTTAATATCAGAATTATAAATACATTTTAATAGTCCGTATATTTGCTGTTTTGGTGATATTGAGCTATCTGGATCTCGGTATCTATAAGACCTACACTAGAATTATTTTGTCCGTACAGTTTGGGTCATAAATCATCGGAGTATTTCGCTCTCTCTCCCACTCACGGGCCTTAGGGGCGAGCATAGTGAATCTCTTGCGAACCGAACCTATGTTTGGCGATATTACAGAGATTTTCCATTATAAGCTGATCTCGCATTGTATAGGTTTTCCGTACCTACAATGAGGGGTTAATTTATACCAGAAGTGTTAGCTTGAGTATGTACAACGAAAGGGGAAGTGGGGGCGAAATTACAATTTGAGCTGAGGTAGTATAGGCTCTTAAAACATATTATTTTCTTGAAAATAATGGATCGCTACTTTGGGATTGAGATCTGTTTAATGACCAATTTTTTTTTCGAATAAATTCTTAACCTCCTACTAGTGTAAAATCGGGAGTGTTATCGTAACAAAAAGAGGCGTAAAATATTAAAGAATTTAAAATAACTTATCTCAAAAACAACGTTCTGTTAGCATTATGATTTATGATATCCTATTTCAGTTAGTTTCATTGTTTATGTAATATGCTTTAGATAATTATCTACAGCGTTATAAGCCGGTAGTTTCCATTATAACAATGGCCGCGTTGATTTGTTTGTATAATAATAGGTCCTTACATATGAAATCGGCGTTTTGTACGGGAGGAATATAAAGTAAAATTTTTTGTAAATCATATTTAACTAATCAAAGTATGCACCGTTGTTATTATCGAGAATCAATAAACTCTTTGAAGGCGGTTTGGACTGCCGCATCGGAGTTGAATTTTTTCCTTCTAAGAAGTTATCCAAATTCCGGAAAAAATGGTAATCTGTTGGAGCAAGGTTCGGGGAGTACGGTGGATGTCGCAGACATTCCAATTGTAGCTCATCTAACTTCTGGTTGTTTGTTGTGCAGTGTGTGATCTTGCGATGTCGTGAAGCAGCAGTTGCCTAGAGCGATTGAGAGTTTAGCAGCTAGTTCTTCCTTCATGGTTTGCAGTTGCTGACAATAGATATCTGCCGTAATCGTTTGGCCAGATTTTAGAAAGCTGTAGTGAACGACACCGGCGCTAGTCAACCAAACACTCACAAGGAACTTTTTCTGTGTCAATTTTCGTTTAGGGCAGGACTTGGCTGTGTCTCCAGGGTTCAGCCATTGCGTCGAACGCTTCCGATTATCGTACAGTATCCACTTTTCATCACAAGTAATGATTCGATTTAAAATCCCTATTTATTGTTTGGTTCTGAAGGTCGAAATTTCCTGAACGAAAACGTTGAAACCAAAAACGTACCGTGCTTTATTTTGCGACACCAGCACCGTACACATCATTAATCCTTCGAGCTGTTTCTGCAGCACTGGTGCCACGGTAGAACTCGTACTCGTAAATATACCGATATTTCATGTTTTCCATTGTGCTGTAATAAGCGACGCCAAAGAAAAAAAATGAGGAAAAAACAAATGAATGATTGTTTTCAAAACTCAAATGTATCAGCTAAATGAATTTATAAATTTGAATTTGGAATTCTTAACCAAAGAGGAGATAGTTCGGATCAAAGTGGTCAGTACGACAAAACGCTAATTTCATATGTAAGGACCCAATACCATACCAATAATAACACTCAGATATAATTATAATTAAAATAAATGAACTCAGATGCATGTATATTAGCATGTATGTATATTGACTTTTAAACGACATACTAACTCAATACTACTCAGTTAATGAATCAACAATTTTTTTATAATTAAAAATGACTCTCAGAGCAGCATTAAGTGTTTAAAGGCAAATGGCCATTTTCAAGTTCTTATAATACTATATAAAACATAATATTTGTTCTTATATAAATCCATGTTTTTCCGTTACCCAGACTGCGTCGTAATAGTCAACAAAGCTTCTAGAAAGTGTGTAAGTTGTTTTACTTCTCAATAATAAACCAGAAAAACTTGGACAGATTCAAATTAACGTTGTAATGTTTTATCTTATAAATCACTTTTTTCTTTCTAACTTCCAGCTTTAAAAATTAATAATTTTCAAAAGTAGGAAGTTATGGATTTCTATCCGATCTTGAGAATGCGAGTTTTCATCATATCACAATGTTTTGAAGTCCTAGGAAGCCGTTCCGACTATTTCACTCCAAAATCGACGAAAAATCGATCTGGAGAACGTGAATACGAGATAATCGTAATAATTCCATAAAAGAAAAAAATTACAAACGGTTGATCCTGCAGGCCTTCACTTGAATTTCGAAACTCTATTTAATTTTAAGCTCGAATCGATTATTAGAGATGTTTAAAGGACTATAATTTTTGAACGTCTCGTTCGATTTTAACTTACTTGACGGCGTTTGGGGTATTTTTTAAGTGCAAAAATTTTTTGTAAGGTCTTAAGGAAATTTTTAAATGGCTATAATTTTTGAACGCGTCGTTAGATTTTGACTTGCTTGGCGGCATTCAACGCAGTTTTTAAGTACATAAAAGTGTTTTGATGTCTGCAGTTGATTAATCAAATATTTTGAAAGATATTTAGAAAAAAACTTAAAGAATATTTTTTTGGTTTTTATTTTTTGAACATCTTTGAAACTGCTCAACCGGATTGACTTAAGCTTATTCTAGCTTGTTTCTGGATGTGGGCAAAGTGTATCATTTTTACGATTGCAACATTTGCATCTCGATCACTGAAACATAGTATAAATAAAGAGGCCAAGTAGGTTATCTCCGGCCCAATCCGCGATATAATTGCCTACTGTCTCAGGGTTGTCACTGTCACCAAATCATTAGTTTAAAGCCCGGCCCTTGCCAAAGATAATACATCTCTGTATAACTAATTCAGTGATCATTAGTCGATAAAGTTCAACAATGGTTTTCCTAACAAATACAGAAATGTATTAAGATTCAGAGCAGTATTATTTATAAAAAAAGGGATAAAATAAACCGGCGGGGCGGTGTGGGCGCGACTGTCCACGCTTTGTCGGATTCGGTTGTCGCCCAAACTGCTAACAAATATTTATAGACTAAGAGCTCGTGTTTAAATTATTTACTTAGTTTATACTAGTTACTTTTTTTTAATAGGCATAATATAGTATTTGTACACATAAAGGACCATATTAATTTTTATTTTCAATTAATACAAGCATATATGAATCACACATAAATTTATTACAAAATTACAAATTAGCTACAGAAAAATACTTTCTTCGGTTTCGACTATTACGAAACGCCTTGTTATTAAACTTTAATGTGTAATATATCCGCATCCTTATAAATAACTTTTGTGACGCGCGAACCTCATTAACCTGCGTCGCGGGCGTTTATTACTGACTGATTCAGTAAAATGTTATGTGGCAATAATGCTGAATGAAATAAGTGCTTAGGTTATTTATTGTGTACCGTAATAAGATTGTACATAAAATCAATCCTCCCTCATACTTTCTTCGGGCTTAGGATTGGCGGCTAGTCCTTTATTTATGGCCAGCTGGCGTATATAAAAATCTATTCTATTTACAGTAATTTGTTAATTGTATTTACAGTATTTTTTTTTTTGGTTTTACTAAAAATTGTAATTTAAACAGAGCTCAGTATGTTCTCAATCGCCTCGGGAGCGACGCGTCACGCGAAATGAGCACAGAGCAATATTTTAGATCCATATGATGCATTTTAAATGTTGTTAGTGAACCAATCTTTTGAATCACTTTAGTGATTCGGATCAGTGATTTGGTTCCGTAAAGAGATTTTTTGTAAGGTCTTAAGGAAATTTTTAAATGGCTATAATTTTTGAACGCGTCGTTCGATTTTGACTTGCTTGGCGGCATTCAACGCAGTTTTTAAGTACATAAAAGTGTTTTGATGTCTGCAGTTGATTAATCAAATATTTTGAAAGATATTTAGAAAAAAACTTAAAGAATATTTTTTTGGTTTTTATTTTTTGAACATCTTTGAAACTGCTCAACCGGATTGACTTGAGCTTATTCTAGCTTGTTTCTGGAGGTGGGCAAAGTGTATCATTTTTACGATTGCAACATTTGCATCTCGATCACTGAAACATAGTATAAATAAAGAGGCCAAGTAGGTTATCTCCGGCCCAATCCGCGATATAATTGCCTACTGTCTCAGGGTTGTCACTGTCACCAAATCATTAGTTTAAAGCCCGGCCCTTGCCAAAGATAATACATCTCTGTATAACTAATTCAGTGATCATTAGTCGATAAAGTTCAACAATGGTTTTCCTAACAAATACAGAAATGTATTAAGATTCAGAGCAGTATTATTTATAAAAAAAGGGATAAAATAAACCGGCGGGGCGGTGTGGGCGCGACTGTCCACGCTTTGTCGGATTCGGTTGTCGCCCAAACTGCTAACAAATATTTATAGACTAAGAGCTCGTGTTTAAATTATTTACTTAGTTTATACTAGTTACTTTTTTTAATAGGCATAATATAGTATTTGTACACATAAAGGACCATATTAATTTTTATTTTCAATTAATACAAGCATATATGAATCACACATTTATTACAAAATTACAAATTAGCTACAGAAAAATACTTTCTTCGGTTTCGACTATTACGAAACGCCTTGTTATTAAACTTTAATGTGTAATATATCCGCATCCTTATAAATAACTTTTGTGACGCGCGAACCTCATTAACCTGCGTCGCGGGCGTTTATTACTGACTGATTCAGTAAAATGTTATGTGGCAATAATGCTGAATGAAATAAGTGCTTAGGTTATTTATTGTGTACCGTAATAAGATTGTACATAAAATCAATCCTCCCTCATACTTTCTTCGGGCTTAGGATTGGCGGCTAGTCCTTTATTTATGGCCAGCTGGCGTATATAAAAATCTATTCTATTTACAGTAATTTGTTAATTGTATTTACAGTATTTTTTTTTTTGGTTTTACTAAAAATTGTAATTTAAACAGAGCTCAGTATGTTCTCAATCGCCTCGGGAGCGACGCGTCACGCGAAATGAGCACAGAGCAATATTTTAGATCCATATGATGCATTTTAAATGTTGTTAGTGAACCAATCTTTTGAATCACTTCAGTGATTCGGATCAGTGATTTGGTTCCGTAAAGAGTTATACACGCCTACTTGTTTCGCTTATATCATTCTAGTGTTTCGCACTGTCGCTTTTTACGACACATGCCACTACGTGGTATAACATTATTTTTTAAATTTATTACTATTATATGATTATGTATACAATGCTTTCAGTACATATATAAACATATTTTCTTTTTACTAAAAGCCTATTAGCTTACTTGTACGAATTTATTTTTCAGTTATTCATCAATGACTCGCATATTAAAGAAATACAAACTAAACTACCACAAGACGCCAACGGATGCGACACCTACTCCCGGAGTATCAGTAGAATTCTCGGGCTATCCCGGTTCGATCACAAGCCAGGACGAGTTCTATATAATCAAAGGAGAAAACCACAGAATGGCGATAACAGGAACATCTCTTAGGAATTATAACAAAAAACTCTGGAAAGGTGTGAACATAACGGAGCAGGTGAGGATTTTAACTAAGAAAACGCAATTTTCCTAAAAGTAATTACCATAAATTAGACTATTAAGAGGACATGTTTGTTGATTACTTTTTAGGAAAATACATATATCTATACGTGGTAGAGCCATCATCATCATCATTACAGCCCTTCACAAGTCCACTGCTGAACATAGGCCTCCCCCAAGTAATGCACCCCAACAAAGCACGGCCCTGCACCACCTACATCCATGTCATGCATGTCTTACCAGGTCGACACTCCATCTAGTGGGGGGTCGCCCTACACTACGCCTACCGGTACGAGGCTGCCACTCGAGAACCTTTTTTCCCCATCGGTTATCGGTTCTTGGAGCTATATGGTCGGCCCATTGCCACTTCAGCTTACAAATCCGTTGGGCTATGTCGATCACTCTGGTTCTACTACGGATATCCTCATTTCTGAGTTTATCACGCAGAGAAACCCCGAGCATAGCCCTCTCCATAGCTCGCTGAACGACCTTGAGCGTCCTCATACGGCCAGCGGTGAAGGAGCACGTCTCAGTTCCATAGGTCATCACTGGCAACACGCACTGGTTGTACAATCTAGTTTTCAGAGTTTGAGGTATATATGACGAGATGTGTCGTAATTTCCCGAATACTGCCCAGTCAAGTTTAATCCGTCGAATGACGTTAATATGTATATACCACACGTATAGTTGCCGACACGAGTGGTGAGCACAGATAAACTGTGGTGGGAGGTAGGTACACTGTCGGGCAAAATTATTGGATAAGTACCTTTATTATTTCAATTCGTAATTTAATATTTTCGGCGACTTTTATGAAAATGTTTACTCGAACACATCAACTTTTACTTTGATACAGTAATGTTGCAGATATTCATGTCCGTTATTTTATTATCTACTATAAAGTATTTAATGTATACCTGGTGGTTAGAATTGATTATTTTATTAAGAAGAAGGAAGAGGTGATATGCCTTCCATAAAATCTGGTGTTGCGGTGCGCCGTACAGTAGCTACTGAGACATTAGTCGCCTCAGCAGTCTGTTTATATACGTCTATGATGTTTTTCGCAGTACCTAATTTTTTCATGTAACTAAACACTGAATAGAAAATTTGTCGGGATTATCTATTTAACACCGAATTCTTCCTTTTCTGCATATTTAGACCAAAATCTGAACACTCAAATTATAACAACAAAAATAATTAAAAACAAGAAATAATAAAAACAATTAATAACAAGGAATACACAAACAACAATTAACAACGAGCTGACAAAAACAATTAACGAAAATAAACTTATTAAAAAAGTTATCATTAAAATTATTGCTCTGAAGTGTACGGAAGCCGAGATACGTTCGAAACCAATAGACGACGAGAATCAACTAATGAACCAATCACGTTGAACGTCAGCGTGGTCAACGTCGTATCGACCAATAAAAAGTGTGCTCACGACTTATGTCGGCAGTTATAACATAATTAACGCACTTTGAAAGTAGTTGTTCAGAATCGATTCCTGTCATTTTTAATATAAGTAGGTAATTTTTTATCCCAAAAACTACGTAATTTACATTGAAACTACGAACTAAGAAAAATAAACTTTATTTCAAGCACATTAAAGTCTTTACGTTCGTGGGTTTGTAGTGTGACCATAACATTCTTCCGGAAATAGTATAACTAATTTGATAAAAAATCAGTGCATAAAAATGTTTAACTAAAAATTCAGTGTATGTATACACATAATATACTAATTGGTTTGTCTGAGGGTGTGCGTTAAGTTACATATTGTATATACAGTGGATTTCATTAATAACGACCTCTGTTGTAACGACTTTTTGGTTATAGCTACGTCAAACTTACGTCCCTTGAATTTAAAGCATACTTTCGTAAGAAATTCATTCGGTAATAGCAACTTCGGTTATAGCGTCAATTTCGGGTATAGCGACTTGTTTTTATGAACCATTTATGACCGGTTCCTAGAAATCCCTTGCCGATATTGCGACTGAGTCGGTAAAGGCACAAAGACTCATTCATAAAACTATTCAAGTTTTCTTATCCTTTGTTTTTTCTTCAAACACAAGAAAAGGAGGATGAAAAAGAGGAAGAAGTTCGCAATCTAAATGATATTCCAACAACTAGAGATGCATTATGTGCTATAACAACACTCAAAAAGTACTGTTTATTTGGTGAAAACCAAAATAATTTAGATGTTGAAGGAATTATGAAAATGGAATACACCTTACAGCGTGCACAAAAAACTAGAATTAAACAGTGCACTATAACACGTTTTTGCAATTACACCCGTGTATAACATAATTAAATAAATGATAAGTAAACATGTACATCACTTTATTATTTCGGATATAGAGACCTCCGGATATAGCGACGACATTAAAGTGGTCCCTCCGCCGTCGTTATAACCGAAATTCACTGTATATATATAAGTAAAAAAAAAGTTACAGCCTATATACGTCCCACTGCTGGGCACAGGCCTCTCCTCATTTCTGAGAGGGTTTTAGGGCAAGGAAGTGTCTGCCGCGCTGCCCCAATGCGTGTTGGCGAACTTCACATGTCTTCGATTTTTTTTCTTATTCCTCAGACATGCAGGTTTCCTCACGATGTTTTCCTTCACCGCTGAGCACGTGGTAAATCAGCACTTAAAATGGCAATTAACAATTTCATTGGTACGGGCGGGGATCGAACCCGGGTTACTCGCGTTGTTGTATTTACAGCGAGCGTTAGCCATCTGAGCTACCACGGCTCTCTCTCTCTCTCTCTCTCTCTCTCTTCTCTATATATATATATATATATATATATATATATATATATTGCTTATTTAAGCTTATTTAATAAATCGTGTTTAATACATTTCCAGTTACCAGTTGGCCCTCGTGTATCAGTTGCTAACAAACTGGCGTCGAACGTAAGTTCCTGGGGGCGCACATTAGCAGCAAGTAACTCTGGAACGGCCTCGAAGCAGTGGCTACTTGTTGATTTCGTACAATTCCAGCGCCTCCACGCACACATGGACACCTTCGTTAAGAGCGAGAAGAAAGAGATCATCACTGAGATCACTGTTAACAAGTAAATATCAGTTCTTTTAATTCTATGTTTATGCGAGTAAATATTGACTATATTTTGGTTTGCAGTTTGGTAAAAAGAAAAATACACAAGAAGCTCCCTAGTTTGTTCCGAGACATTTGAAATAATGATTTTTTTAAAAGATAGGGTGACAAGCGGGCACATAGTCCACCTGATGGTAAGTGGTTGCTGTGGCTCATATTTATATGCGTTGTCAACCGTGAGGACTAAGATGGAATGCCTCGTTTCCAGTAAAATGGGGTCTCCGGTTCTCTACACTCACCACTGGGTGCGTTTAGGCCTAGAAAAAAGCGCTTGCAAGCGCTTGTAAGCAAAATGGCGATCGTAAGCGGTGAGCGCTGTTAAATCGTAAATAGCTATTTTCCTCTAGGACACGATGTTAGTTTTAACCGGGGAATCTCAACCTAATTTTAATATATGTTTGTAAAGTATTCATATTAAAAACTTACCAATCATGAGTTTTTAATAGCATATAGCTATGTTTATTCATGTCATTATGTTACTGTAAAACTAATATTGCATAAAACAACTTATAAACTCTTACTTCAAAACATAACAGAATTAAAATAAGCAAAATGAGCGGATTGTGTAGCCAGCGCTACTGAAGTAGCAATCGTGTCTCTGGCCGAAAACTATTTTAGCGCTTATAAGCGCTTGCTAGCGCTTTTTTGCTGCCAAACGCACCCAATGGTATTCTGTGAGAGCGTGGTCCTTCCCCGGTCGAGCCGATCCTTTCTTGCTATAATCATAATATAGCTGCAGCATGACTCTACCACGTATATATGTAATTTCCTAAAAAGTAATCAACAAACATGTCTTCTTAGTAGTCTTATCTACGGTAATTATATAATGCAGCATGGCTTTTTAAGATAATATTGAATGAAACTAATTTTTACGGATTTACCGCGTGTAACTTGTCATGGGTCAAATGTCCCCCTGGGTACTATTGACCCATAGGAGTACTTTTCCTAGCAGTCCGTCTGGATAAGTACCACTATTAACCTATTTCTGTTGCTAAATAGTAGTGCGTGCACTGCTGTGTTACGATTTGAAGGCGAGCCAGTATAATAACAGGCTGCGAGGTATTCTATGTTATGTACGACACTCACGGTCAGTTCAACTGATCATTCTAACTGAACAGTTCAAACTAGGACTGTTGGTATTTTTTAAAATATCGGGTTTTCGATATATCGATAAATAAACTTATATATAAAACACCGATATTGATATATTTATAATTATCGATATATCGAAAAACCGATATTTTAAAAAATATCAACAGTCCTTGTTTGAACTGATCAGTTATAATAATCAGTGAACTGACCGAGTGTCGTCCATTAGTCATCTTTCCATCCTTATCTTAATCTTCTTTGTTTGAAGTCGGCTGCAGGTGTCCAAGTCCTGCAATAGCCACTGACCATCGAATGGAGCGTAAGTTCATGTATCACTTCTATATTATAAAAATAAATGGATACTACAAAGTACTACTAGTACTACAAAGTCCCCACCCCCCCGTGACCTTGGGTGCTGTAAAACGCTCGAAACGTCGGGTATTTATAATTAAATATACGCGATAAAATCCGTAAAAAATAGTATTATTTCAATACTACAAAGTACTCGAAACGTGAGGAGTATAAAATCGTAATTAATTATAAACGCGATAAAATCCGCAAAAAAACCTAGCATTTTTACCATAGTCATGGGTTGAGATAGATTCATCCTTTTGTCGCGGTGACATAACGCTTTTGTTTGGAAATTCCATCCTTTTGTCGCCACTACACAGCACTTATGTTTGGAATTTTTTAAAGTCAACAAAGTTAAAACATCCACAGGCCACAGCATTTCCTTTACTAAACGATAGCCACGTATTAGGGTAGGTTCACACGGCGCGTTGCGTCAGCGTTGCGTTGACGTAGCGCTGTCACTGCGTCATTTTACATACTAATAATCATAGTGTTCACACGGTGGATATATCATAATATATTATATATTATTAATAAGATAATTCATTTACCCAAATCTAATCGTGTTCACGTAAATATGCGTAATGATCAACGGATTGTGAACCTTATCTCAGGGACGTAAAGCACACTATCATCCACCGGTCGGGCGGCGGGCGTGCAAAGGGCGCGGTGTGGCTGCTGGAGCAGGTAGCGGGGCGCACGCAGTCCGCCGACATCACGGTCGCGCTGCTCGACACACAATACTGGGCCACCTACGGGCTGCCGTTCTTCAAAGTGAGTGCCACATTCTATCCCTCATAATGTTTATAGATTATAGTTAATGTTTCATGTAAAAGCAAAAGGTAAAATTACAGCCATATACTAGCAATATATCTACGTGCTATACTGGGCACAGACCCTCTCGTTTCTAAGAGGGTTTTTAGGGCAAAGAATTGTAAACCGTTCTGCCTTAATGCATAATGGCGGACTTCATCTTCGAAACAATTCTTATTCTAATACCTCAGACATGCAGGTTTCCTTACGATGTTTTATTTCACTGTCGAACAATGTTTCATGTATTTCTAGTTAATGTTTGCAGTTTTGTATTAATGTAACAATTTAAGTTTTCCTTTATCGTCAACAATTGTAGAAAGTCAACTTGTCTAACCTCCCTGGTGTAGTTATATCTAGAGTGAAGTCGAAGCAAAATGTAGGCTGTATTTTCACTTTAGTCGAACCGAAACTAATGTCAACCCGCTTGATCTCGGCTTACACCGTAGATATCACAAGAACCACCATGTCAAAGTATCCAGGTCAACCCGTGATAAGGCTACGTAGGGTGATGCTTCATTAGAGTATTTTTGGCCGGGTACGTTTAGCACATCGTACGCTCTGCTCTCGCACTCTTTACTATATAAAAAGAATATAAAGGTATTATTAGTATATAATAAAATCGATTATACTCGACTGAGACGGAGCCCTAAACGAGGGATATTTTTAGTTCGCATAGGTATGTATATATGTATGTATATATATATGTATGTATATCTGTTTCTATGTCTTTGGCGACCTGTTTCGTCTTCGCATCGTTATGGCGGCTGTACACTCTCGACGAGAGCCCACGACGCAAGGCGAGGACGAGAGTGTACAGGATACTTTCGCTGAGCTTTGCCTTCCCTCGCCTCGGCTCGCGTGCTCTCGCGCTCGTGTCGGTTTATGGTGCGTGAGTCAAAGGCCCTCGCCTTCCCTCGCGAGTGGACACGAGAGCGTCACTGTACACTCGCGCTTCGTTCAGTCTACCGCAAGACGTTTTAGCGTGCAGTATATTTGCTTATCCTATTACCACAAACTTATCATGTGGAACCAAGAGAGCAAACTGAATTTTCTTGAATTTATCAAAGTGAACCTATTTTGTGGGAGACCACGCATCGTTACCACAAAGACAAAAATCCATCCGTCTGAAATCGTGCGTCCATCTCCTCGCCGTCCCTCACCGTAACTGAATAAACGAGAATGTACAAGGTTACACTTGCAAAAGCGCTTTCTCGTGCAAGAGGCTCGCGAGAGGCATGGTGAATTCTCTCGTCGAGAGACAGCCGCCATTATGACTTGGCCTTACTGGGTGCCACTCAGCTACAGGGGCAGCCGTGTGGCACTCAGCACGACGCCGCGTTGTGTTTTGACACCCGTGCCTCGTAACACAACGCCGCTTACTACGACTACAGTTTAAAGAGCTAACAGTTGTGAAGCGCCTAAACGCAGTGATTATAATATTCTCTTTGGAAACGGCTTTGACGTCAGGCGATGCTGACGCGGGCGGCGGCATCGTATCAGAAAATGGGAACACACAAGCGAGGCCGTCATTTGAATTCAACTTTACTTTTAGTAACTCATATAACTAACTATAACAATGATTCAGCTTAAAAAACCTACCCGCTCACTTTATTTATTTCACCTTTAAATAACATTTTCATTCTTTCAGGACGTTGCAGAAATAACACATGTAACGAAAATGGAGGCAATCTACGGAAAGACGTTCTCAGAATCAGAATCACCGCGCGCAATAACTTTCAAGCGCGGATATAAAAACGCGACGTCTTTGGAGAGCATTATAAAACTGATGCGTATGAACAACGTGACAGCATTATACAGCACAGGAAATATCACCGACACCGCCGAATGCTTCGATAAATTGGATTGCGTTCTTAAGGAAGCTGACCACTGGTCTGTTCTGGGAGTGAGAGGCGATATCGTAAAGAAACACAAAGCCCCCTATGGGGTTATTGATACGAAGGTCGTTAGTGGTAAGTTAAATCATGTTTTACTTTCTTCTTCTTCGTCAGTCTTTAATAATCCAATTGTTTTCATGAGCCTCTTCCACTTAGATTTGCCATAATGGCCACGTCTTTTCATACGGGATAGAGCCACGCTGCAGCTACATTATGGTTGTATCATAAATGTGTCGGCTTAATCGGAGAAGGAGCATGCTCTCACAGAGTACCAGCGTGAAAAAGCAGCTTAATGTTGTTATATTTCGTCTGGCGAGTAATAGACAATCGGAGACCATTTTTAGGGTTCCGTAGTCAACTAGGAACTCTTATAGTTTCGCCATGTCTGTCTCTCAGTCTGTCCGTCATCGCTTAATCTCTGTGACCGTTAGCACTAGAAAGCTGAAATTTGGTACCAATATGTGTATCAATCACGCCGACAAAGTGGTAAAATAAAAATTGGAAAAAATGTTTTATTATGGTAGCCCCCCTATATGTAAAGTGGGAAGTGATTTTTTTTTAATTTCAACCCTAACGTGTGATATATTGTTGTAAAGGTATTTAAAAATGAATAGGGGTTTACTAAAATCATTTTTTGATAATGTCAATAATTTCGGAAATAATCGCTCCAAAATTAAAAAAAAAAATTTTCCCCCCCCCCCCTCTAACTTTTGAACCATAAGTTTAGAAAATATGAAAAAAATCTGAAAAGTAGAACTTTATAAGGACTTTCTAGGAAAATCATTTTGAACTTGGATGGAAACAACAGTACACTACCGGGAGTAGTTACAGGAGCGCGGACCGCTGCTGGAGCGCGAACATAATGGATACCTTTAAACTCATAAGTGGCAACACTTATTGTGACGGACGGGAAACTACGGAACCCTACACTGAGCGTGGCCCGACACGCTCTTGGCCGGTTTTTCCTATAAACGAGGCATCTTATCTTAGTCCTTAAGGTTGAAAACGCGTTGTACATTTAGATTCTTAATCGCGGATGGATATATACTAGATGATTTTTTTACCGTCTTGACAAAAATAGGGTGTACAGGTGAACGAAATAGATGCTTTTTTTTGCTTTTAAAATTGATCTATCAATAAATACTACTAATTTGAAACAAACCTACAATAATAAAAAAAAACAAAAAAATATTTTGAATTAAATAAATAAATCAATTAAAAACTATCGAAATTAAAATAATACGCACCCAATTAATAGTATTCATTGATAGATCAATTTCATAATGTGTATGTTAATGTGTTGTAAACTTGCTCGTAAAATATCAGTGCTGTAGGATTCTATTCCGTTCACCTGTTACACGCTATTTTTTTCCAGACGGTGAAAAAATCACCCAGTTTAGATATCTATGGGTGTCGGCATCCACTTACAGGTGGACTGTATGATCTGTGTGCTCGTTTGCCACAATTATTCCTTAAAAAAGATCCGTATACGATACAATTTGAAGCAATCAATTAGGAAGGCCTATTTTTTGCTGTAGACTTGATAGGCTGCCCTTAGTCTAATTTAATGGAAGTGACGAGATAATCTTGTTGTTGCCGAGAAATAGCGAGATGTGACCATTTAAATAACATATTAGAACTGTAATGGACAACATCCTTTATATTAATGACATTAAGCGCATCGCTTATTTTGTCCATATTTCTGGGACACTATTTTCTACAGTGATCGTTCTCCTTCTCTCTAACTTCCATGCCCCAGTGCCAAATGCATCATGCTTCAGTGACAAAGTCAAAGTTAGTGGAATACTTAGATAGGCTTGTTTATATATCGATATTATTTTTTCAATGTATCAATATTTTTGAGCGATATTTAATATTTTGATATCGATACATCGATATAAAATTCCAAGTATCGAAAAGGTATAAAAATCGATATTTTTAGACCGTTAAACATAAGTTTTAAGATAAAAAATAATCCAAAAAAGGAATTCTTCTTTTTTGCAAATAATATTTTATGTAATTTTTATTTTTGCACGACTTGATTTGCTGTTTTATAATTTGGTTTTTAAGTTGCAACTCAGTCTGTCAATTTCAACTTGAACTGCCCGTCCGTATCGTTGACATGACAAACTTATGTATTATAACCTCAACACAAACACAACACAAGTAGATGAAGTTAGTTGAATAATGTTGAAATTTTCTTCTTTGTATTCTACTCCAAGCATATTGGTACTTAGAAGAGGCTCGCATTTAATTATGAACTTTTTTCGGACTGATTACGATGACAATGATTTTTACCATCTATTATTTCATGTCAGTGTAAGTGAGTGCGTATTCCACTCCAGGCACGGCTTAGCTTGGTATGCATCACTATTGTACTACACAATTTGTAGTCAAATAATATAAACAAATTTTTTTACAGGTAAAACAGACAGCGATACGTTGGAATTCGTCGCGATATCTAGTCCTCCGTTCGCTGAACCCCCCCAATTGAACGAAACAGAGACACCAATTAATAAAGGAACTGTGGCCTCCGTTTACACCGACCAATTCGATGACGAACCGACAATAAATGGCTTAGAAATACGGGACCTTGTAAAACACCAAGCTGAACAGAAAGCACAGGAAATCCTTAACAAAAATACTTTACAACCGTTTCAATGGTCAGATAGTCCCTTCGAGGACATCATACACGAAGGTCTTCCCGATAAATGGAGCTTCGGTCCATTCAAACCCAAGTGGTCCTGGTGAATCTCTGAATATTCTCGAATCTTTCATAATAATTAGAACCTTAATACATATTTTATTTTATCAAACTGTACTTAAAAATAATAAGTACTTACTAGTATATTTCATCCAATGCTTGTTCGTTTACTTATACAAATTTTGTATTTTTTTTTCGTTTATCGTTCATATTCATGGAAAATATGCGTATTGTCATATTTTAATATTTAAGTTTTAGTGCCTGTGCCTAGCATGCATCATCTTTTTTTTTTGTCAAAAACATTCGCGGACGCGTACACATAAACCTATCAAAATTTTATACATGCAAAGAATCATTCATTTTTACGTATTATTTATGTAATAGATAGTGCGTGTGTTTGTGGTCGTGTGACTTCTGAACGATTTGACCGATTATTGTGATTATCAGTATTTGTTATAACAAGACTTCGGCTCATAGCTATTCTACGATCCGCTAGGTATTAAAAAATTCTATAATTATGAACCAAATTGACTATTATACAATGCCTGTGTTCCGAAATAGAACCCAGTATACTGGGCGAATGCAAATGACGTATTGTACTGGTGTGCCGCCGCCATATTGTGTCGGATATCCCGCCATATTTAAAACAATTTTTAATTGTGAACTATGCCAGAATTTGTTTTATTTATTCAAATACAAAAAATGGCAGAGCTGAAACAGTTAAATCTGTACAATAAAAGAATGAGAAATCATACTCATTCTTTGTTACTGAGGGAGAGCGATCAATTGCATATTCAGGTAAGTTATAGAATCATTGTACTTAACCTAAAAACAAATTATTCGTACTAAATGATGTTAATTTTTATTTCAATAAATGTTTGACAGACCCAAATTACGGTGTACGTTTCGCAATACGGCGCAAATGTACGATGTCATATACTGGCCAATGTTTTGAAACGAATCAGCGGTATTGCGCCGATTTATGACATCATTTGAATTGGCCAGTATACTGGGTTTTATTTCGGAACACAAGCTAAATACTATTGGCAATGAAATCACAAAAACTGGACCCGATAAGTGGCGCTGTAGTCACATTACTAAAAATATTTATACTTATAAGATTTCTTATATTTACGCGACACTTTACATTGAATAAATCAACTTTTACGAATTTTATCGCGTTTAATATGCTATAATTGTAGTGTATTTATCACACTTTCTTCATCAATGTTATAAAAAAAAATCATTTCGTCGTGTATTTTTTTTTTTCAAAAATATAATATGATTCTGTTCTTAATATTTTATTGTAAACTAGTTTTCTTGTTTTATTTTTCAAAAACAACGAATGATCTATGAGTCTGACGACACGGTAATTTGTCTTTTAATTTAAAAAAAAACATTTGCACGTATTAAATATGCATTTATACTTTTAAGGGCATGAGACGCTATTGTCATTTTATTCTCGAGACCGAGATGAAAAATAAATTCATGTAGGCACCTACACACGCATTCACACACGAACAAATATCGTTTGAAAAACTTAATAGAAAGATATGTTGAGATTCGGACTTAACTATCGGGCCACATACGGGAAGTTCATAACACTCAATACTTTATTTAAAGCTCATATAATGTTAAGTTAATTCAATTAAAGCCTGATCGTACATTTTTATTTATTCCATTTTATTTGTGTTAATTGTCTTCTTTGTCAATTTGTCATTGTTTCATTTCTTAGGTGTATTCGCCTATAATATCATGCCGCATAATCGATTTAACTACATTATGTTTCAAAGATTTTCTTTTGATGGATTCTAGCAACTCTTTTTCTATTTAATAGAAATGTGTTTTATATGTTTTTAAACTATTTATTTCTTACTATGTATTTAAAATAGGTTTGACGTATTTTAATGTAGAATACGCTATCGTTTTATTTATTACTAAAATGAAATATAATAAGAATGAAGTGACTTAAAATATAAAAGAGGCATATCGATTTTGCTCTCGAAATAAATAAATATATTAAAATAAATGCTTTTAATTTGTTATTAAATCTACCCAAGAAATTCTGTTTTTTCAATACAAGGTGTCCCAGAACGTAATGATCAAAAAAATTAAAACCTATACCCAAGTTGCGTGGTTTGAAAGATATAGGTGATTTATAAATTTTCCATAAAATCACCCTTTGCGTCAATATTTTGATGGTGCAGCTGCAAATGAGGACCGATTTAAAAAAAATTGTTTTGTATAGCATAACGATATGCCTACTATACCTAATATTTTATTTTTCAGCACCTATTACGGTTTGGTAGAAATAAATACATAAAAATTGGTAAAAGTGTAAAAATGTAACACTAAAGTTTTATCTAGCAAGTTCCCTTCACCCCGTAAAAAAATATACTCACCTTGACCTGGTAACTGTATTCAAAAGTTGGCGCAATTCATGTACATAATACTTGGTACTTGATAAAATAATACTCGGTACTTTTATTTCAATTTTTTTGTGCTATAATTATTTTTCTCGCAGAGGGTAGATTTTGTGCAAATTACTCGATTAGATTTTTTTAAATGATTAGTCCGTTCGATTAATGTAAAGAAAAATAATTCGTTTTCACACTACGAAGTAACTAGAACTGTGCACAGCTCAGGTAGGTAAGATCCCTTCCCTTACCTCGCCCGTGTCCTTAGTTTTCAACAACGAAATCCAGTGAATTTCGTGGTATTGTTTGAGCTGTAGCTAGACTACCGTGAGAGGAACCCCGACGAGGAACAATATCCTGAGTATAGTGTATTTATGAATGTGAATCGGAGGCTAGCTGAAGGTTTTTTGCTGGAGCGGTAGTCCCTACGCGGGGTAGAGAAGACTTTGACATTGAAGACGAAGTTTTGGATCAGGTTCGAAATGATCCGCGAACCTCTGTTCGTAGGTTGCATTATTGACAGGAATAGTTAAGGCAACCGTACATAGGATGCTCGAACGCAATAGATACCACCGCTACCATTACAAAAAAGTGCATCGAATGCAACCAAACAATTCTTTTTACGTTTAAATTAATTTACTAACAAGATTCAAATTCTTTGCCACAAATTGTGTTTGTGTGACAATTATCAATAAAAAGGCAATGGAACCTTGGGTATGTTCCGAAATACAACGCAGTGTACTGTCCAATGCAAATGACGTCATGAATCGTCGCTATACTGGTGATTCGTTCCAAAACATTGGACAGTATATGACGTCATACTTTTGCGCCATTTGGAAAAGTGTTGGCGATTATTTTGTCATTTTGTGCTCCAAAAATCATTATATCCTCCTGGATATACCATCAATTATTCTATATTTTTTTGTATTTGAATAAATAGAAACAAATTCTGGCATGCTTCATTCGGCAAACACACACTTAAAAATTGTTTTATTATGGCCGGATATCCAACACAATATGGCGGCGGCACGCTAGTACATTAAAGTGTCAAACTGTCAAATGATGACGTCATTTGCAATGGACAGTATACTGTGTTGTATTTCAGAACATACCCCTTATTTACATAGCGTCATTATGCATAATATTAATTATATATGCAGAAATGTTAAGCACTGTTAACTTATCGCTTCTTTATAAATTGCATCTTGTTTTCTCAACCTATTTTATTTCAAAAAATATTCGATGGATGGTCAATGCTAACGACCCCCTGGGAACTTTTTATTAAAATTTATTCTAAAAAGCCTTACATTTACATCTAACATTTATATGACAACACACTTAAAATGCAGACAGTTTGAACTTCGAAATATTCAACACTTCAGCTTGATGAAATGCTGCCAGATATACAACATAATTACAGCAGATCTGCCGTATTTTCACGCCGTCTACTAGATACCATATTTTATAAATACAGTTTACACAGTTTTTTTTTCAAAAAAAAAAAAACAAAACTTCCTTGCATTTTGAACGATACTTATGAAAAATATCGTAAATTATGAATGCGACGAATGCGTCCACCGTCCAACATAAAAGAGAATAGGGTATTCCCCATATCGGCCGTACCATATATGTACGCATTATTCAGGTAAATGAAGTTGGATATGCCATAGTATAGTTTTAACGTTATATAATATGTGCCATTTATATTATCTGACATTGGACTGGATTGACATCAACTTCTTTGGCCTAGCAACAACAAATAAATGATCAATGGTAGAAATTGCCATACTAAAAGAGATTTAGATACAAGCCAACAACCATAATATGTACATATTTTGGCACAAGGTAAAAAGCATTCTTATCAATTACAAGTACTGAACTTTCTATAATTTTTTTCTTCTTGTTACATATGTTACAGGTGAAGTAGTTTTAAGATACCAGCTACAAAATGTCGTTTTAGATATCGTAGAACATGCAACTATAACAATTTGTGTGAATTAAAAAAAAACATATTTATGGCACGATATAACGGGAGAGGCAGCAGTGAATTTTTACGATCTGATGATAAAGAAAAAGACTTAGTCACATATACACGGACAGAAGAATTACGTATAACAAGAAATATATATTTAGGCTAATGGGTATACTGAATGACCTTTTTTACTATCTGGAAAAAATAGGGTGTAACACATTGAGTTATACAAAACTAGAGATGCAAACTATATTACCGCGCGTTTAAAAAGTGTAACCGCTATCCAAGTGCGAAGACGTAGCTTTGAAATTCCTAAACATTTTAAATAAACATTATATCTGTCTCACTTACACAAGTTGCGAAAACAATACCGTCGCCACAGAATAAATAATAGTTGCCGTCGCTAACTAATATTTGATAAAGATCTCACAAACATGCAATGGTGGGTTGGTGTGGCTTACTATATGAAATTTTACCCAAAATACGCAATAAAAAAGAAGTTTTTTTTGAAGCTGCAGTATTATTTGTTTTTATTTAAAAAAAGTATATTTTCTTATCAGATGAATAGAATTAAGCATAAGTGATGAAATAAAAGCTATTTTTATAAGTATTTTTTATTGTACTAATAAGTCAAACAATATAAAATATAATTAATATA